TTTTTATTTAATTAGTTTAGAATCAAATATTTTTAGGTTTAATTCTTGTTTAGATAATTAGGATAGTCTAATTTAGTTAATAGTTAATCACAAGTCCTCGTGGGTTCGACATCCGACTTTTAGTCACTTTATTACTTGACGACCGCGTATACTTGCGTGTGCGTTTGGCCGCAACAGATTCTGACAGAGACATGGATATATCGCAAATGCGAAATCAGACCTCGCAAATGCAAGGTCTGAGGCCTACACAAGAAACAGTGTTTCACCAGCTATGATTCTAAGTCCAAATTCACTATGTAACCTATCCGAAACTCATCTAATCCCTCGGGACTCCAAACCAAACATGCACACAAGTCTAAAAATATTATACGAACTCGCTCTCATGATCAAAACACAAAATAACACCTAGAACTACAAATCGGACACCAAAACGAATGGAATTTTCCATGAAACTTAAAAAAATTTATTTTAACAACCGGACGTCCGAATCACGTCAAATCAACTCCATTTTATACCAAACTTTCCAGACAAGTCATAAATATAGTAATGAACCTATACCAAGCACCGTAACCAAAATCCAGACTCGGTAGCAACAAAGTCAAACTTCGGTCAAATTCATAAATTCTTTAAACCTTTAAATTTGCAAACAATTGCGATAACTCGAGCTAGGAACCTTTGAATTCGATTCAGGATATACGCGCAAGTCCCAAATCATGACAGGGACCGTCAAAATATAGATTCGGGTCCGTTTGCTCAAAACGTTGACCGAAGTCAACTCAAATGAATTTTGAAGGCACGATTTTACATTTTAATCAATTTTTCACATAAGATCCTTCCGGAAAAAGACTCGGACTGCATATGCAAATCGAGGAAGGATAAAAGTAGGTATCTGGGGTCTTGAAGCACAAAATTAAGGGTTAAAACCCTAGATAACCTATCGGGTCATCACACTGCCACTGTCATAGAATTCTGAATCCTCTTGTGATACAACTTAAGAAAGAAACAATGATGAAACTTAAGGAGCATTGAAGCTTTAGATGAGAAGGAAATTTGTTGAAGTTGTGTATTTATATTTACAATATACCAACATATATTCATAAATTCTTTAAGCCTTTAAACTTCAAATTTGCAAAAAATTGTGATAACTCGAGTTAGGAACCTTTGAATTCGATTCTGGGCATACGCGCAAGTCCCAAATCATGACAGGGACCGTCAAAATATGGATCCGGGTTCGTTTGCTCAAAACATTGACCGAAGTCAACTCAAATGAATTTTGAAGGCACGATTTCACATTTTAATCAATTTTTCACATAAGATCCTTTCGGAAAAGACTCGGACTGCATACGCAAATCGAGGAAGGATAAAAGTAGCTATCTGGGGTCTTGAAACACAAAATTAAGGGTTAAAACCCTAGATAACCTATCGGGCCATCACACTGCTACTGTCATAGAATTCTGAATCCGCTTCTGATACAACTTAAGAAAGAAACAGTGATGAAACCTAAGGAGCATTAAAGCTTTAGATGAGAAGGAAATTGGTTGAAGTTGTGTATTTATATTTACAAAATACCAACATATATATATATATATATATATATATATATAGATTGTACAAATCAATATATGCCTAGTTTTAAGCCACCAAATCAGTGATCCATATTCTGTGGGATCTAATTTACACTAGATAGGAAAGTGAATATGAGATATCAATATAATATTTAATAACACTCCCCTCAAGTTGGAGAGCGAATATCATGCAAGTCCCAACTTGTTGCATAGTGTCATAAAATTATCCTTTCCCAGTGCCTTTGTAAATATATCCGCCAACTAAAAGCGTGTAGGTACATATGATGGACTGATCATCCCAACTTGTAATCTTTCTAGAACTATGTGGCAATCTATTTCAATATGTTTTGTACGTTCATGGAACACAGGATTCGCTACAATATGCAAAGCGGCTTGATTGTCACATAATAATTGTGTAGGAGTTTCTTGTGGGACTTTTAGATCTTGTAGAATGTAGCGTAACCATGTGAGCTCCAAGCAAGTGTTAGCCATAACTCAATGTTCATCTTCTGCGGACGATCTTGAAATGTTCGATTGTTTCTTGGACTTCCATGTGGCATTGCAACCTCCCCAATCCGAATCACAGAAGGCCTTTAAAGTAAGATTATTGGAGGAAGAGAATAATAACCCTTGATTTGAGTACTCTTAATATATTTGAGCACCCGTACAGCAACATCCGAATGAGGTTTTCGAGGCTCGTGCATGTATTGACTTAGTGTGCGAACATAGTAGACTATGTCAGGTCTTGTAACTATAAGATAAATTAGTCTACCGACTAACCTTCTATACTTGGTTGGATCGCTCAATAATTCTCCATGTGTTGGGGTAAGTTTCAGATTTTGTTCCATTGGAAACTTGTCCGGGCGCGCCCCTAGAAGTCCTGAATCTTGTAAAATGTCTAATGCATATTTCCTTTGAGACATGAAAATACCTATGTTATCTGGAAAACTCAATGCCCAAAAGATATTTCAAATTTCCAAGATCTTTGATGCGGAAGCGTATAAGAAGGAACCTTTTGAGATGCTCGATTTCTTTAAGATCATTTCCTGTAAGAAGAATTTCATCAACATAAATCAAAATTGAAGTAAATGAAGTACCTTGGGCCTTAGTTAAAAAAGAATAGTTTGCTTTTGATTGTTTGTAACCAACCTTTTGAATGGTTTCTAAAAAGGCTAGAAACCAATTTCTTGATGCTTGTTTGGGACAATAGAGGGATTTGTGTAGCCGACATACAACTTTCTCCCCTATCGGCGAAGACCAAGTGGAGGTTCCATATACACTTCTTCATTCAAGTCTCTGTGAAGGAATACATTTGGACGTCTAACTGGTAGGCAAACCAATTACGTGCAGCAGCAACGGTAAGGAAACAACGAAGTGTAGTAGGTTCAATTGAAGGTGAAGTTTCAGAATTTATGGGTTGGGCTTGTGATATTTCTGATGCTTCAATGGGTTATGCTGGAGACAATGATTCATAAGATGTGGGCTCATGTACATCATGGTACTGGGATGATTGAGGTGAAATATTAGTGGAAGATGGTGTATACTGCCAATTGTCCATGTAATCAAGAGAAAATTCATGCAACATAGAATGTGGATTTGGTGAAGTTGAGAATGGAAAAGTGGTTTCTAAATATTTGACATCTCGGCTTACAAAAATATTTTTAGTATTCAAATCATAAAGTTTGTAACCCTTTTGACCAGTAGGATACCCAATAAAAATTCAATGTTTGGCACGAGAATCAAATTTATGAGCAGGATTAACAACTTTCAAGTGATCAAGTGATGGTGGACGATTATATAATAACTCAAAAGGAGATTTAGAAGATACTAATGGTGATGGAAACCTATTGATGAGGTAGACAGTTGTCAACACACATTCTCCCCATAAAATTAGAGGTACATGATATTGAAATCGTAACGCTCTTGCTACAACTAGAATATGACGATGCTTGCGTTCAACTACTTCATTTTGTTGAGGAGTTGAAACACAAATCCATTGACAAATGCCTTGAGACTGAAAGAAACTTCTCATGGATACAATTCTCCACCATTATCTACCCTTATGGTTTTAACTGAGGCATGAAACTGAGTACGAGCTAAGGCAATAAAAGAATTTATTAGATCTTGGGTATATGATTTTCTTTTTATAAGAAATACCTAGGTGCATCTTGTAAAATCATCCACAACAGTAAGAAAGAAACGTTCCCTTGTATGTGTAGATGCCCTGTGGGGACCCCAAATATCACAATGCAATAAATCAAATGGATTATGACTTGATATTAAACTTGAAGAAAATGGAAGTCTAGTCTATTTAGCCATAGGACAAATGACACAATTATTATTAAAAGAGATATTATGAGAAGACAATAATGAAGAGATTAATTTAAGACGAGATGGTGATGGATGCCCAAGGCGCATATGCCATAAGTTTTCCGGTTGAGAAACTTGATGAGAAGAGGGTATCTTTTGCAATGGAGACATATAATAAATACCACCACGCTTCTCACCCGAGCCAATCATCTTCCCCGTAGCCAAGTCCTGCAAGTCCTGCAAGGCACAGAAAGTAGGAAATAAAATGGCACAAAAATTCAAAGCATTAGTGATCTTGCTTACTCACATTAAATTTAAGTGGAAAAATAGAATGCATAAAATATTGTTTAAGATTATATCTGAGTTGAAAGGTATAGTGCCTGTGCAAATGATAGAAGCAGAGGATCCGGTGGGTAAATTAACAATTGGTATTGATGGGGTTTCTGTTTGTGTAAGAAGTGTGGGATCAGAAACTATATGATTAGTAACTCCAGTATCTAAAATTCATGATTTACTAAATACAGAATTACATGAAGCACACTGTATTTGCATAAGCATCAACTTTACCCGTAGCACAATTTTGAGTCATCTTAGACAAAGCATTAGCAATTTGTTGAAGCTGACTTGCGAAAAGTCCATGTGAATAACTACTGGTCTCTTGAGAATGAGATCCATGTGAAGTTTGAAAAGAAATTAGCCGATGAAACAATATTTTGCAAATTACTTTGGCTCCTATGTGATGGTTGCTGCCCATTTTGGTTGATTGATTTGTTTGAAACCATGCGCCATTTTTGAACTTACACCTATCCTCTGTATGGCCTCTTTTGTTTCAATAATCATAATGAAATTTTAGAGTCCTATAATTTTCAATTGTATGTCCCTCTCTATTGCAGTGTTCACAATGCTTGTGTTTGTACTTGTTTAAAGAATTATTTGGACGGCTTTGAATTGCAACAACAATAGAAAAGTTTCAACTTGTTCCGATGCGATACCTCATTGCGTTTCTTCTTGAATAACAAGAGAGTAGGCCTGACGAACATTGGGTAGTGGCGACAATATTAGTACATTTAAAATGACAACATTGTAGGTGTCGTTCAGGCCTATGAGAAATTGTATTACATGATCTTCTTCCATTTGTTCAGCATGTGCTTTCATCTGATTACAAGTAGGTATAGATCTTTGCGTAACTATTTTCCTCATTTTTCCTTTTACAGGTTTGCCTAAGACCATTGAGCTTAGGCCTTTAGTAGGGGATGAGGATCCGTCCGTTGACCCTTTCACTTTGGGGCAGCTCGGGGCTGCAACAGGAGAAAAGAAGAAAAGGAAGGCTCCGGGCTCCCCGATCTCAGAGAAGAAGAAGCCAAAGAAAAGGTTGGCCCGTAAGCCAAAGGAAAGTTCTAGTTCTCGAGCGCCCGACTCGGATTTGCTTTATCGGCTCAGGAAAGTGCCCGAAGAAGATGATTGTTTCATGGCCGACATCCCCCGAGGAGCGAGCAGCCATTGAAGAGGAGATCCATGAGGTTGATCCCCCTCAGGACTAGGGGGTCGATGAGGAAACCGGGGCCATGACTTCCTGGAATGCCGGCCACGCCCCGAAAGAGGCACCCGGTATAATAGAGATTTCAGGGTCGCCTTCCTATACCGAGTCCATACTCGAGGAGGCCCAAGTAGGAAAGGAAAGGTCTAGAGAAGGGACTCATAGCGTAGACGATCCCATTCGTTCCTTTTTTAACAGGGTGGACTCATCTGTTTTGGAAGATATTTCCGGGCTGGGCGACCTGTAGGTGCCGAGAAAAGGGTCATCTTCAGAAGTCGACGGGCTGAATTTGAGCCCGAAGTTAGTCAACTAATTCCCTACCCCGAGAGTTGATCCCAGTCGCAAGAGGATACCCGGGTTCTCTTTGCTCCCGTGTGAGTAGCGAGCCACCTTCGATGCTTGGTGACTAAAGAAGACCAGGCAAAAATGAATGAGGTGGACGTACTGTGCCTATTCAACGAGGCGCAACAAACACTGAATCGGGTAAGCTATCGTTACGATCTTTCGACCTTTGACTTAATCTTTGATATTTCTCACGTCTTCTTTCTTTTACCCTTTAGCAGGCCTCGATGCTCCATCACGAAAGCTTTATTTAGTACCGGGCCGAGGTTAACCATATAGAGGCCGAGATCAAGGAGCATGCTGAGATAAGAGACACGTATAAGCTTTTCAGCGAGCAACACGAAGGGGTTGTCAAGAATCTCCTAGCTAAGTTGGATGCGACTCGGAAGGAGCATGTCGACTTGGTCGAAAAGGTAAAGGTTTTCGAAGTTAGTAATGAGGACTTAGCCATGGCGACTAACGACCAAACCTCGCAGGTTTAGCAGAAGATTGACCAGATCGACCAACTCCGAGGTCCAAGCCATGACCGATGTTTGGAAGGGCAAAATGGACCGGCTGGCTTCGGAGAAGGAGACCACCCAAGCACAACTGACATCGGTAAAAGTTCAACTCTGACTGACAAAAGAGAAGGTCGATAAGCGAGCCCAGCTGAGGTCGAGGAGGCCAAGAAGCTGGCTGATCCCTAGGATGAAGAAGGCTCTGAGGGCTCCGACAACCTAAAGAAGAAGAAGGCCCCTACGGCTCTGGTAACGAGGAGGGTTCTGGTGAAGATCGGGCGTAGGTGCATTAGGAATTTTTGTCTTTGTTTTTGCACCTTGTACATTTATTTTGTTGAGGCCGTTTTCATTGGCCTTTTTAAAGACATTCTAGAATGTATACATAAAGCTTTTTCCCTTTTGGCAATTTTCAAGTCTATTACCTTTAACATCCTTTTTACAATTGCAAAGATTTCAAATACCTTAGCACGAAATAAAATGTAGTAATAAGTTATTTTTCGGAGGTCCGAACAAGACTTGTTCTCGATGCAAGTTTTGTTTGAAACTTGTGCGGCTCAGAATGACCAGAAGCTTTCCCCAAAATACTTGTTTAAATATTTTTAGACTATAATTTTGTCGAGGGTAACCTTTGAACCGGTTTGAAAATTTGAAGGCCTTATGTTTTGATTACGGGTTTCAGACGTCTTCGAGCCGCTTTTAGGGTGAACGTAGCCTTTTAGGTTTGGGCACTACCTAATAGGTCTTGTGCCTTCGGGTTTCGATAACTCGAGCCGTCTGAACTTATCAAGGACGGAAGTCCCCGAGTGGGGATAGCCCCTTGGGCTCGATAATTCTCGGGCAATAGTAGCCCTTAGGCTCGATACTTTTAGGAAGCAAAATAGGGTGGCCCCGGTACTAGACTTTGAGGTCGTACAGTATGCCCGCAGGACTTCGGAAAAAATTTTCTTCCATTTTCCTTTGGCATCAGTCAACCTTTTCTTAAGGTTTTGGAGTATGGTCTTGTTTGTAGACTTCGCCTGCCTGTTCCCACTAGGGTGATAGGGTGTTTACAAGATCATTGGTCCTCAAAATATTTGCTTACCTTGCTATCGATGAACTGCTTCCCGTTGTCACATACGATCTTGGCCGGCATCCTAAACTGACATATTATGTGGTCTCAAATAAAATCAATAACTTCTTTTTCTCTGACTTTCACAAATGCCTGAGCTTCAACCCATTTAGAAAGATAATCAGTCATAAATAATATAAGCCTTAACGGGTGCCCATGGCAGGGGGCCGACGATGTCCATTCCCCATTTTATGAATGGCCAAGGTGACAATACCGAATGTAGTAGCTCCCCAAGCTGATGGATCATTGGTGCATGCCTCTGACAACCGTCACATTTTTGCATGAACTCCTCAGCGTCTTTCTCCATGTCGATCCAGTAATAGCCGGTTCTGATTATCTTATGAACCAACGATTCGGCCCCCAAATGGTTCCCGCAGGTACCTTCGTGAACTTCCCTCAAAACATATTCGGTGCCTCTTAGTACCAGACATATGGCGAGTGGGCCATCGAATGTTCTTCTGAACAGGGTGTTATTTTCGGACATGCTGAACTTAACCGCCTTCGTGCGCAGAGCTCTCGATTCTTGAGGATCCGAGGGTAGCTTCTCGGTCTTCAGGTAATCTATATACTTGTTTCTCCAGTACCAGGTTAAGCTTGTAGAGTTTATATCGGCGTGGCCTGTTCCACTACTGATTTCATGAGTTGTACGATTGATCCCGAGCTGAATTCATCCTCATCAACCGATGACCCCAAGTTAGCCAGAGCATCGGCTTTGCTATTTTGATCCTAGGGCACGTGTTTTAGGGTCAATTCCTTGAATCGATGTAGCATTACCTGTAGTATATCCAAGTATCTTCGCATTCATTCCTCTTTTACTTCGACCCCCAGGATTTTAGCCAATCCGAGACCTGCAATCATGGCCTTATACTCGACCTCATTGTTAGTCAATTTCAAAGTTCTAATAGATTGCCTAACTATGTTACCCGTGGGCGGCTTCAACATGATGCCGATTCTGGACCCCTTTGTATTCGAGGCACCGTCCGTAAAGAGGGTTCAGATCCCTGAGAAGGTCCCCTGGTTAACAACAATTCCTTTTCGACTTCGGGTATAAAGGCCAGCATGAAATTGGTCATGAAGTCTGCCAAAATTTGAGATTTGATGGCGGTTCGGGGTCGATATTCAATAACGTACCCGCTAATTTCCACGGCCCATTTGGCCAATCGTCCCAAGATCTCAAGTTTGTGCATTATGTTCCTTAATGGGTAAGTAGTCACGACACATATGGGATGGCATTGTAGGGCCTTAACTTCCTGGAGGCTCTTAGCAAAGCGAGCGCCAATTTCTCCAGGTGAGGATACCTCGTTTCGGCATCGCCTAGAGTCCTGCTAACATAATATATAGGAAATTACGTACCTTCTTCTTCTCGGACTAGGAATCCACTTACCGCTATCTCGGATACTGCTAAGTACAGGTACAACTACTTGTCTGTCTTTGGAGTATGAATCAAAGGTGGACTCGAAAGGTACCGTTTGAGTTCTTCCAAAGCTTGTTGGCCCTCCGGGGTCCACGAGAAGTTATTCTTCTTCTTCACTAACGAAAAGAACCGATGACTCTTGTTAGAGGACCTTGAAATGAATCGACCCAGGGTGGCTATACGCCCGGTTAGCCTTTGGACGGCCTTGACATTGTCTACCATGATAATGTCTTCTATGGCCTTGATCTTGTTGGGATTGATCTCGATCCCCCGGTTGGACACCATGAATCCAAGGAATTTTCCAGACTCAACTCTGAATGCGCATTTCTTTGGGTTCAGCTTCATATTGTATTTTTTCAATATGTTGAAGGTTTCCTGCAAATGTTCCAAATGGTCCTCTGCTCGCAGGGACTTAACTAACATTTCGTCAATGTAAATCTCCATTGATTTTCCTATTTTCTCTTCGAACATCCGATTTACTAGGCATTGGTAAGTGGAACCAGTGTTGTTTAGTCCGAATGGCATTATGCTATAGCAATAGGTGACGTATGTAGTGATAAAGGAAGTCTTTTCTTGGTCATCCGGGTCCATCCGGATTTGGTTGTACCCGGAATAGACGTCGAGAAAGTTGAGTATCTCGTGGCCGGCCGGCGCATCGATCATGTGATCGACGTTAGGCAAAGGAAAAGAGTCCTTAGGGCATGCCTTGTACAAGTCTTTGTAGTCTACACACATTCTTAATTTATTTCCCTTTTTAGGCACTACCACTACGTTTGCCAACCAATCCGGGTACTTAACTTCCCGAATGGAACCTATTTTAAGGAGTTTGGATACCTCGTCTTTGATGAATTCATGCTTGACTTAGGACTGAGGCCTCCTCTTTTATTTAACCAGGTGACACTT